AAAAAAAAAAAAAAACATCAAATATGAATGGAAGGACACCATCAACAACCAATAATTATTACATAAACATAGATATCCAACTTTTGATCAGAATAAAATCTATTCCCATAAGTTAATTAAAACAAGCATCAGAATATATTTATCTTGAGATTGAAGAATAGGAGGTGTTTCTCCTGATTGCGAACTTGTTCATAATGTCTTGCCAATATTTTGATCAACATGTGGATGATAGTAGCTTGTAGTATTATCTGTTTGTTTTTCAAAGAGACACATTACTGCATGTCAAAGAGAAATAAAAGTACAAGAACATTGTAAAACAGAAATTTTAAGTACCTTGTACATTGAATGTGAAAGAAGCTGGTGATGGGGTCGAATGTGAAGCTAGTGATTGTTGAATTAATCCTGGTATCCATTACCATCCTATTTCAAATCAATAATTAGTAACAGCTGCAAAAAGAAAAACAATCATATAGAAGCTACTAGCTATTAAGAATTTAGAATATGAAAAATGTTACCGGGACAGAAAAATCTCGAAGGATGGCATCCTGCACACTAGTATCATTAGTTTGCAAGTCGGGATGAATTTTTCTCAGTCTTTTTTCCTTTACTTGCTGCAGATGCAGCCAACAAAGAGTGATAATCATTTAACAATTAGTAATTTTTTGCTAATAAATGTACTAGTTGTAAGGAAAAATATGATCATGTAATTGCACAAATAATTTCATTTTTATTTTTTCTTAAAAAAGGATTACCTTCGCTTTACGTGATCGTGACTCCAACGGGCTTTTTCGTCTCAGCTTTCTCGAAGCACCTTTTCTATTGGATAAAACCGGATCACGAATAGCCTCAATATTTTTATTTTGAGATGGATTATTTGATATATCCATATATGTGGACTAAAAGCTATTCTAAGTGTTTGGAGCTAGACCGGAGTGGACGACCTCACTCTCGGACGACCTGCAGGTTAACGATCTATAGGACTGCAATTTAAGACTGTGACGGCGACCTAACCCTTAAGCAACCTAGGGACTCCTACACGAAAGGGTGAGACGACCTGAATAACTAAAAGACCTAACATAACTCGACCTCCACCACCATGGGACAAGCTGTGAATAGATCACAAAAGATTAACAGGGAATAAGGATAAAAAGGAATCTTAAAAGCATAAGATAAAATCTAAAGGTGACTATGAGATAATTTGGATATGGACAGTCACCAAGTCCGGGCAGTCGGGCAGATCTGACATGTGGGTAACATGGACACACAAAAACTCTCATCAGAGAGAAATTTGGTTTTCTATTGTACAACTATTCAAATGGAAACATATAAGACAACTTTCTTACATGTAGCCTATTTATAATGTAGCTAGTTGTGGCAAAGGAATATCCCAAAAACTATCTGAGAGTTTACATGTAACTAGGATAAACCCATCTCAACTAAGTGCATATATTGTCTTTCTGCAATTCTATTTTGTTGTGGTGTATAGGGACATGAGATTTTGTGTTCAAGTCCACATGCTTGGAAATCATAGTGAGAGTCGTATGTCCAGTTGATTGTCAACTACATTTCTTAAATGAAAAAAGGCTCCATATTCTTCAGGTTTGTTCTTAAGCAAGTACAACCGAGTATAAACAAGTACAACCAAGTACACATGTTGAAGTAATCAACAAACACCGCATAACGAACAAAACCTGTTGCCCTGCATCGCTCATTGCCCAAGTCCTGTACGCATTGCCTGTGAGTGAACATGCATGGCAGTGCGCATGCTTGTTGTCCAGTATACGAATACTAGGCTGCTGTCGAGGTGTTCCGCTCGTCTACTCTATCGTCCGGTGTTCATCTATGTTCATCAAAAAATAAAATTTAAAATATCAATATTTTGATCGTACGATCCAAGTGTTGGGATCTATAAGGATCTAGTTATGTACAAATCATGAATTCAGTAGCAAACGTAAACCTATGCGCAACGAAACTAAAAGTTTGACGTAGAAAACTTACGACTTAAATTTTTTGGCTATCTGGCTAATCTTTCGGATGGTCGTACACAACACACGACCTGAATTAGATCACAAACGGAACGTCGGGCTTGCAATCAGGTCGTGTTGACGGAGCGAGAGTCGCGGGTTCGGATCGCGGGGATCACCAGTTCGCGCATCGCGGGGAACGCCGGTGATGAAGATGCTGTCATTGACCCATCCGAGCCAGAGGACGAGGCCTACGATGACCAAGAGGAATGGTGCTCAAGCCGAAAGGACAGGCCGCAAGGCCGTAGTAAAAGGACGCGCACGCGCGTAAAATGGCGCGCGCATGACGGGCGCACGATACGCACATCGGCGATATGCATGTGCCTATTAGTTATTTAATTACTTGAAAAGTCTTAGATATTAGGATATTTAGTTCCCTTATGAGTTTATTCTCTTTCATGATTTAGAATTCTAGTTGGAGTAGGATTAGATCTATGTAGCCTATATAAATGCTTGTCTCCTCATGTTATTTATCATATCGAAGAAGTTAATAGAAAATCGAACTTTTGTTCAAAGCTCTCGTGTGTTTTCTCTCGTGAGTTTACATAGAGATCGTGTTAGAAATAGGACCAACATCCGAGTTTCTACACATTATCGCGAAGTACGAAGGCGTCAGCGCGCGTATTAGCAACCTATCGCTTGGAGACTAAGGCGTCGGCGTGGGTTTTACGGCAAATCGAGTTGAGCGGATACACGATCAATCACTCTCAATGAAAGCACCAATGATCTAGAGATGTAACGAGAGGTCGACCACCTATACCCCTCCCACCTACTAAACCCTCCGCCCTGACCAGACAAACACCCAACCACCACTACCCCTAAAATCCACTCACCAATTTCAGCCACCAACGACCCACGGCTAAAACGCCATCCAATCCTAACCACCAAACCCAAGAAATCGGCTAAAAGAGTGGAGAAAGAAACCTCGATCGCGACCAGCTCCATGGAGACTGGTCGGAGCCCACTGAACAACAACGCTTGGAGTCTCGGGTACCTGAACCTTGATAGAGGCGCCTTGAGGTTTCAGCGAGACCTGCATTTAGTGGAGATTCGTGGCTCCAAGCGGGGCGACCGACCCGGACAACGACAGAGTAAAGGAGGTCCTGCGCAAGATGATTAGGGAAAATGGTTTTTTGGGAGAAGATGAATTCACACTGTTGGGAGACTTGTTTGATTGAGAGAAAAGGTGGAGTTCTTAGTTAGGCTGTTTTTGCAGTGATTTGGTTCTCTATTCCGCAGTTTGGCTTTTGGACTGTTGGTTTGGTGGTGTAGACTAGGGGATTAGTTTATTATGCCTTAGCTACTGCTCTTGTGTTTCTAGGTCGCTTGTTAAGCGTGTCCTCCCAGTTTGTTTTCAGGCTCTGTTTGCCCTTGTATTCAAATTTTGTTCCCTATTGAGGTGTTATAAGTTTCTATATCGTTTTGAAAAAAAAAATACAAACAAATAGCCAAAAATAATTGACACTAACATTAGTAATTTATCTTTAAGTCGATTTTGCGTCTTCGGTCCGTATGTGACTAATTAGCTTCTGCAATGAGATATCTTACTTTTAGTGCTTTAAGTGGTTGCAATAGTCATTCCATAAAGGCGATAATTTTTCAAATAGAACATTGGCATATAGAATTCCGCATATCTTCATTCCCTGACCGAAAATATCCACCATTAGATTTTTGTACTCGTGAAGTTGCTCAATATCCAGTTTGTCATCCACAATTTGAAATTACATCCATTTTACAACATATTTTCTTTTTTCAACCCCAATTTAGTTTGGTTGATTTGTTTAACAATTAAATTAAACAATGTGTTTGCCAGTGATTCAACAATGCTACGAAGGAGTTGATGAGACGTGAGTGGACTGTGATTATTCGACATGTTTACCGTGAATCTAATTTCGCGGCTGATTATTTGGCGTCACTAGCTACGACTAGTCCGGGTGGCCTTCAGCGCTTAGAATTTCCTCCGGCTGGCTTGAAGCCATGGCTCGAGCACGATGTTATCGGAATGGCTTACAATCGTAGGGTAGCTTGTTGAGCTCCCCCTCCTTCCCTCTGTACCCAAAAAAAAAAAAAAACATATGGCCCAAACGGTCTTATTGTCCTTCTCAAACATGCAAAATCGTTTCTAAATTATAAGGAAAAAGAGATACCAAAAGAGATGAGAAAGAAAAGAAAATAAAAATAAATAAAAGTTGTTTTGTGGAAGAATCACTACCTTAGAAACATTTCGACTGACCCATAGGTACAAGGCTAAATTGTCCTTCGCTCCCTAAGGTTAACACAACAATTTGTCTAACGTGTGGACTTTGGGTAGACAAATATGGATATCATTGGACTTTAGAAGTAGTAAGTACATAAATTAGTCTAAATTTTATGAAAGGTTGGCCCGAAAAATCCCACAGGCCCAAAATGATAGTCGTTTCCAACAATTTGTAAAGAAAAACAAGTAGGAGAAGTAAGCCATCCCAATTTATTTATTAAGATACAACATATAATATCCATTTGGGAGATGTTACGGTCCCGTTACGAAACTATTCATTCAGAATTTGTAACCGTTAGATTAACTATCCGCGACAGTTGTATGATGATCTAACGGTTACAAACTCGATGGAATGGTTCCGTAACAGGACCGTAACATTTACCATATTCATATGTGCACAACAAGGATGCATTATTCACACAGACGTAAAACATCTTTAATTATCCATTCAAATCACACATCTCAGGCTCTTTCCTTGGAGAAGCAAATTGAAAGCTTTGTTGATATCTTGAAAACCAATCTCATGTGTCACAAACTTGTCAAGTTCAAATTCCAAACCACATGCGCACAAACACATTGTTCAAGTTCAATAATCAAAATTCTTGGTACAAAAAAGTTCAAAACATCATTACTCAAACCAATGATCTATACCTTGTCCATGTACCGTTTGACGAGGATTGGTACGTCCCGTTTCGGTTTAAGACCTCCAAACAATGAGCCCATGATCGTTTTGCCAAGATGAAGTACATCGAAAGATCCAAATGTCAATTGTGAGTCAGGTTTGTCCACCCCAACCACAATCGTTTTTCCCCAACCCTTAAAAACATGGAAAACATATAACAATATATGTGATTCTTTTCTGTACTAAATTGGTTAAGGATGCAAAACCAATCTCAGTATCTTAAAATACTTTGAGGTAACAAAATATGTAAAACCTTGCGGCAGCACGCAAATGCTTCATCGACCAAGGATGCCTTCCCCACGCATTCGAAACAAAAGTCGGCTCCTCCACCTGTCATTTCATTTATCACCTGAAATATATAATGCAGAACATTAATTAGTTTTATGTTGTATCTGGTTGAATTTATTTGCAATTTTTGGTAAGAATAAAAGTTTAACAGTTTCAGTGCTGTAGAAACAAAAAGGATTCAAGGAAGAAAAGTACCTCGCTCAATCGTTTTTCACCACAGTTCCTCGAGTCAACAAAATCAGTTACGCCGAAAGCTTTACCTATGAGATTCAGAAAAACAAAAATTTAGAACATTTCTGCAGACCGAAAAGATTATTTATTCTCCAAATAAGTAATTAACATGTTTTGAATTATCAGAAACTAAGAATGATAGATATGTATAATGTAGCAGCTAAATAAATAATTATACTATTCTATGCTTCTCTGTAAAGCTTCTATCGAGCGATGCATTGTTAGTGTCAGATAACAATAAAAAGGCTTTTCATGCTCCACAAGGTCAACTGTTTTCGAACTTACTCATATCAAACTTGTCAGGGTTCACGTCAACGCCTATGATTTTAACAGCACCGCATAATCTTGCCCCTTCGGCAACCTTCAAATTAACGAATAAGTTCTTCATCGAATAATAAAATTTCAATTAAGAAAAAAGAAAGAAAAATGATAAATCTAAGTAGAGATCCTTACGGACAATCCTACAGACCCAAGACCGAAAATGGCTACAGTGGATCCTGCTTCAACCTTTGCAGACTTCCATGCAGCTCCTACCCCTAAAGAATTACTTGAAGCGTAACATGTCCGTGTTCTCTCAAAGAAACATATCAAACGATGTTATTTTACTCGAAAATAGTTGAGACTCATACTCAATAAAAAGTTGTACCTGTGGAGGCTCCACAGCTAAGAAGGCAAGCCTTATTTGGAGGCATAGTAGGATCAATTTTCGTTATATATATTCGAAACATGCACAACTGTGTACTCTGCAAAAGTAGATGTAAATAGAAAATGGTACAAAGGCTGTCCGTTTAGGTCGGTGAATCTGCTAGACCCGTCCGGCATCCAAGGAGAGATCGTGAATGGGAATCTCGAACAAAGGTTACTCTTTTCGGACTTGCAATCGGTACATTCTTCGCAGTCCGCCAAAAATATTGGAAGAACCATATCGCCCTCGACGAGGCCCTTTACTCCATCCCCAATGCTCTCAACAACACTATTAAAGAACAAATAAAAATAAAACTCAAGAACTATAGCTAAGCACCATAAAGATACAAAAGAAATTGTCTTCTACATAGAAAAACAGAACAAGTGAACGATTACCCGACAGCTTCATGCCCCAAAATCCTTGGAAAACATGCTGGAGGGTCCTTCAAGAGGTGGAAATGAATGAGTTATGATAGGATAATATGATCGTATTTTTATTAATAATAACACCAATAGCCCATGGAGAAAAAAGTGTTACTTACTTCCATTTTCCAGATTGTGATATCACTGTGACAGAGAGAGGTACAAATGATTTTCATACGAACTTCCTCCGACTTAGGTGGGCCCACAAATACTTCCTCGATCACCAGAGGCTCACCGGCTTTTCTAGCCACGGCAGCTACAAAGTCCAAAAGAAAACTTTGTTAAGGATACATGCTCTGCCATCAATAAAATTAAATTTTACCTCGACATTTTATCGGCTTTCCAACAGTTTTACCAGATGAAACAACAGGATTGTCCATTTTGAAGGTGAAAAAAATATGTCTGTGAAGTTTTTGTGTGTGGGGGATTTGGGAGATGGAAGTAAGTGTGGTGATATGTAGCTGAATGCATGAGTTATATATATGTCTTTGTGTGTGTGAATTACAAATATGTCTCAAGGTTTTCGTATATTCACGTTCGAAAAGAAAAAAATTATATAATTTTATGTAGTTCGACTCGTTCAAACTTGATATCAACTCGTTACGGCTCAGACCAACTCATTAATATTCATAACGAGCCGAGCTCAAGCTCGAGCACCTTGAACTCGGGCTCGACTCGACTCATTTACATCCCTACTCTTGATAGAAAAAATGGGTAACTGGTTTTTTTGAAGCTATAGGCTTTTTTAGGTTTGGCACCATACATTTACAACCAAACAATTTAGACTAGGTTCACATATAATGCAAAATTGTACATTTGTGTCATCTACTCATCTTCATATCTTTACTTTAGAGTAAGCTATGCTTTAGTCCATATATAGTTGACTCAGCCAAAAATTCATTCTGCATTTTAATATATATAAATTATTATTTTTTATCTTAAAATAATTTTAATGCCAAAATATAAATAATTAGGCATATTATGTCGATGTACATGGAATGATATTTTTGAAGTTGTTAAATTATTTCTTTAAGTTTTAATAAACTATGCAGTTTTGTTAGTTTTCTATAGTATCATACTTATTTTATTGTAACTTAATGTGAATATATTTTCCCAAAGATAATTTTGCTACAACTATAAAATCAGATATGAATTTATTGAAATGTATAATTGTACAATAAATTCCGTGTATTGTATTTATAAACACGAAAAATGTTTCATATAAATATAGTAGATTACAATCTCTATTATTCATCTAATTCTTCTCACGAACAATTTCAAGTCTTGGAGCGAAATCTTCTGCTTGATCTTATCCTTGACTTGATTTGACTTGGATTAACGTTAATCCGAGCGCCAACGCCTTGATTTCGGATCAAACGCCGTTATATCCCAAGAACGCGAAGAACACGAATCCTTGGTCTTCACCACAAAGTAGATCTTGCATCTTCTTCACGCCGATTTTGGATTTACTAACATTATTCGGAGGCTTCGCAGCTTGTTTTCGGATTAAACGCAAGTTTTGAGCTTTAATACGCTTGAATCTTGTTTCGAATTGTCAAGAACGCATTTGAATCTTCAAGAACACTTCAATCTCGTCGAGAGAATCTCTATAGCTCTTAAACTTGAATATGAATTATGATTATTTTTTTTTTTGCTTTAGGGAGAGTTCCTATTTATAGGTGTAGGAGAGAGAATCCTACCAAATTAATGAATCGTAGGACGCAATTTGATCGGTCCACGATGATTTACATAAGATCTTCCAGATCTACTTAGAACTCCCAAGATCTTCTAGAAGATATGTAATTTATTTACCAAGAAATAAGATACGACACTTCTCATGATTTGATTGGTCAAAATTAAAATATTAAAATATCAATTAATTAACTATTTAAATTTTAGAAATAAATATATGGAAATTCCTAAAATATAAATAGAAACCATAGACTTTATGAATTGCTACTAAAAAAATCTCCTGTCTCTAACCTAATCCCCAAATCCCCTCGACGCCCGTCTCTTCCATTGCAGCTTTTCTTGGCCTTCCCCGACGACGTCTTGCTCCGGCCAATGGTCATCTTCAACCGCTTGCTCCTCTCCTGACCTGTTGCTTCGATGTTGCTGCGGGCGATCGGAATTGGTGGGTCGAACCAGGGTTTCAGATGGGGCTCGTCTCGTGGTGCGGCTTCCGGGCGGAGATTGGCCAGCGTCTTTGTAGCCGACAGATCCTTTGTTCAAGGTCGTCTCTTTCGTGATTTGTCTCTGATCTGCGATCTGGAGGCTCCTCTCGTTTGGCTTCGCCTTCGGGTGATGTCCGACCTCCGGTTCCGGTGGCTTGTGGTGACGCGGGGTGTAGGTCGGTTTGAAGGGTGGGGCTTTGGCAGCGTTGTGATGGAGCCGGGCTTTGGCTGGGTCTTTCGCTGTGTTGGCCGGAGTTGCAGAACAAGCCTCTTTCTCCCTCCCCTCTCGGCTAGTGGTGTTAGGCGGCGGGGGCTTTGGTTCCCCCGGGCTTGGTTAGTGGTGTTAGGCGGGTTCGGGTGGGGCCGGTGTGGGAGTTGGTTTTGTTTTCTCGGTTGAATTTGGGTCGATTCGGGATTGGTTCGGGGCTTGTTTCGGCTACTGTATAGGCAGTTTGCAGTTTCGGTAGTGGTTTCTCGGGCTTGGAATCTCTCTTGAGTCGATCGTTCGCTGTTGGTTGTGACGGTTCGTTTGCTGGGGAAGGGCTTTGTGTGTTTTTTATGTTTCTTCTTATGTTCCTTTTTTTGTCGTTGTTGTTTAGGATTGTATTTTTTATTTGGGCCGTTGGCCCCTGTGAGTCCGTATTACCCCGTGGGGGTCGTCCTTATTCTCCTTTGGGGAGCGTTTTCAGTGTAGGTTGTGTGTGATGTGTTTCGTGTGTGCCGTTTGGATTCTAGCATGGCTAGCGTCGGTATCTAGGCAATCTCCGGATCTGTCCTCTCTGTTTTCGCAACTGTTGGCTGCGTAGTTCAGCTAGGGGTTGTATTTTTGCACATTTGTTCCGAAAAAAATAAAATAAAATATAAATAGAAAATATGACTTCCTTTTTAATAAATTAGTTTTCACGTGGCGCCATTTGATTGGCCACAAATTTTCTTTATCTACCATAAATATATGTACTTTATCAAAATAATACATCAACATATATGATTAAGACAAAGGCTCTAAAATGGCGTGATACAGATAGTGTTGCATTTAATGTAACATAATACTAGCATTGGAGAAAAATTTTTGCGACTCCATAAATGTTGCAATTATGCCATAACACTAGCATTGGAGAAAAAAAAAAAAAAATTGCTCTATAAATGTTGTAATTTATAGGCGTAGTAGTTAGAAAGATCGAATTATTATATTTTTTGAATAAAAATGTTTATTTATATATAGTAAAATATTGAAATTTAATTTCTTTTTTTTTTTTTTTTTGTGTACAAGAAAATGAGGCGCCTAACTACAATGAGACCAACACGTTTCTGGGATACGACACCTCTACCACATCATGAGCAAGCCAAGTCGTCACACCCGAAGGAGAATCGTCCAAACACTGAACTCCATCGGCCTCTGAGCCGCAAGGGAGGCTAAAAAATTGGCAACAAAATTATTTTCCCGATAAATGTGCTGCAAAGCCACATACTATTGTCGACGTAACAGCTCTCGTATCCTTCGTAGAATCCCTCTGTAGATATTGCATCCATCATCTGCATGGATCATCACAATAATGCTTTGATTATCGACCTCCACAACTACCTTGCGGGCTCCAATCTCTCATGCAAGCGTCAACCCTTGAAACAAATTCTAAAAGTTTGGCACCAATGACATAGAAAAATACCTTATTCATCATGAAGCCACTCGACCATTTTCCCATATGGTCCCAAATAATGCCACCAGCACTAGCCATACCCGTACTCAGTAGATGGTTGTGGTCCGCGTTGACCTTCGCCACACTTGCAGCAGGCGGTTCCCACCCTATCTAGCGCTGCTCGCGTCGATCGGTGTCGCCTAGCGCACGGCCGCTAGCCGCGGCTGCGTTAATGCAATGGACGAAAGAGAAGACGCCATGCACACGAAGCTCCACCAACCGGTTCTCATCTCGAATAATCGTGTTAAGTTTCGCCATCGCCACATACGCCAAGTGGTGGCCCCAAAGATGGACGCCGAATCCTCAATGCCATGCACCAACTGTTGGGAAAAATACGCTGAAATTTCCATGAAGTCGGATCTATAAAAGTGAAATAAAAACGAAAAATTGGACACGCCAAATTGATAACGGAGTTCGGCCAATAATGCCTACATCTCCGGACTACTGCAGATATTTTATTAGGAGAAAAGAAAACACTCGTGTTTACAAAACACTCGTAAACTCACTCACAACTCACAACACAAATACACACTGAAGCTAAAACTTTTGCTCCGCGTTCCCTCTCTTTTTCTCTCTTTCTCTCTTGTGTTTCTGTATTTTGTTGTGTGTCTGATCAATCAGAATCTCCCTCAATTTATACAGGGGAAAGTGCACTAATTTTTCCACAAACGTGTACTGATCAACATCACACCAACCCCATCTGCTGCCATAATGGGGGGCTGTCACTTTTGTCAAAATTTGTGGATGAGTTAGTTGGCTCTTTTTCCAAAATTTGTGGCTAACAATCTCCCACTTGAGGACCGATTTCAATCTGTCCTCACACCTCAATTACTGCAGTAGTCTTCTCAGTCTGTTACTCTAGCAGGCCAACTGAAGTTGAGCACAACTTCAGTTTGTCAATGGTCACCACCTTCGTTAGCATATCTGCTGGGTTCTTGCTTCCTACAATCTTCTTCAAAGCCAACACTTCATCCTCAAGCAGAGATCTGATGAAATGATATCGTATGTCAATGTGCTTAGTTCTGGAGTGAAACACTGAGTTCTTTGCCAGATATATTGCACTCTGACTGTCACTGTGCAAGACACTCTCTTTTTGAGTGAAACCCAACTCTGCTAACAATCCTTGAAGCCATATCAATTCTTTACTGGCTTCTGTCACTGCTACATACTCAGCCTCTGTAGTGGATAGAGCAACAATCTTTTGTATCCGCGACATCCAACTAACAGCTGTAGCCCCGACAGTGAAAACATAACCGGTGGTGCTTCTTCGGTGATCAACTTCACCTCCAAAGTCTGCATCTACGTAGCCCTGTAACTTTAGATCTCCTTTTCTAAAGTACAAACATTTTTCTGTTGTGCCTCGTAGATATCTCAAAATCCATTTGACTGCTTCCCAGTGAGCTTTTCCTGGTTTTGACATAAACCTGCTCACAACTCCCACTGCATGGCCAATGTCTGGCCTCGTACAGACCATCGCGTACATCAAACTTCCAATGGCTGAAGCATAAGGAA